AAAGCAGAACCAAGTTTCCAAAGAAAGGAGCATGGAGAGCCACTAGACCACTCCAACTCCTTCATGCTGATCTATGTGGTCCTCTCACTCCATCTTCAAATGGAGGGAAAAGGTACATTATGACACTTACTGATGACTATAGCAGAAAACTCTGGGTTTACTTCTTGAATGCAAAGTCAGAAGCTTTAGCTTGGTTCAAAAGGTTTAAAGCACAAGTGGAGAATGAAACTGGAAGGTCCATTGCTTGTCTTAGAACAGATAGAGGAGGAGAATTCTTATTACATGAGTTTAGAGATGTGTGTGAAGAAGCAGGTATCAGACGACAACTAACAGCTGCACTCACTCCTCAGCAAAATGGTGTTGCTGAAAGAAAGAACAGAACTGTTCTGAATATGGTAAGGTGTTCTCTGGAGGATACCAAGGTTCCCTCATCTTTCTGGCCTGAGGCTGTTGATTGGGCTGCACATATACTCAACAGGAGTCCAACCATAGCCAATGAGGGTAAAACACCACAAGAAAGATGGTCAGGAAAGCCTCCCTCAGTGAATCACTTGAAGGTGTTTGGTTGTGTGGCTTATGCTCATGTGCATGATAGCCTAAGAAAGAAACTAGACAGCAAAAGTATCAAATGCAACTTCCTGGGACTATCTAAGGAATCTAAGGCTTATAAGCTGTTCAATCCTGAGACAAAGAAGATCATCATTAGCCGAGATGTGGTCTTCAATGAAAAGAAAGGCTGGATAAGCAAATCTGCAGAAGAACCTGCTTTGACTAAGTTGGTATGGGAAGGAAGTGAAGAAGTCTGGAATGACTCAGAGGAAGAAGAAGGAAGTGAGGGAGAAGAAGGAGAAGAACCAGTTACTGAAGAGGAGAGTGATGATAGCAACCCACATTCTGCAGATGAGAGTACTAATCCCAGTACTAATCCTTCCAGCTCTCAGACCTCATCTGCAGATCCCACTACATCACCAACTGCTCAGACAGAAGAAGAAGAAGAAGAGGAGGAAATGACTGATGCACTGGGATTACCAATTAACAGTGAGCTAGGCCCCATGAATCGAAAATTCCCAAGTCGATTTGGAGACTATGATTGCTCTGGGATGCCTAACTTGGCATTCACTGAAAGTGACATGTGGGCTTTGGTAGCAGTCAGTGGTGACCCAACCACTTTCGAAGAAGCAGTACTGGATGAAAAGTGGAGACAAGCTATGAAACAGGAAATTGAGGCTATCAAAAGAAACCTTACTTGGACTCTAGTTGACAAACCACCTGGAGTAATTCCTATTGGAGTCAAGTGGGTTTACAGAACAAAGCTAAGAGAGGATGGGTCAATTGACAAATTCAAGGCAAGGTTGGTGGCAAAAGGCTATGCTCAGAGACATGGAATAGATTACAGTGAAGTATTTGCACCAGTGGCCAGGTGGGACACTATAAGGACATTCTTAGCACTTGCAGCACAACATGGTTTAACTGTGTACTAGTTAGACATCAAGAGTGCATTTCTGCAGGGAGAACTTACAGAGGAAGTATACATCTAACAGCCACAAGGATTTGAAGTTCCTGGTGCAGAAAACAAGGTTCACAAACTACAAAAGGCCTTGTATGTCCTAAAGCAGGCTCCCATGGCATGGTACAGCAGAATAGAGTCTCATTTTCTGGCAAATGGATTTGAAAAGTGTGAATTTGAACACACATTGTTTGTGAAAAAGAAGAAAGGGGATGTGCTGCTAGTGAGTGTGTATGTGGATGATCTGATCTATGCAAGTACCAGTTCTGAGATGCTAAAGGAATTCAAGGAATCAATAGAGGCTGAGTTCGAGATGACAGACCTAGGGAGAATGAAGTTTTTCCTAGGAGTGGAGGTAATTCAATCATCTACTGGTATCTTCATTTCTCAATCCAAGTATGTTCGTGAGCTGTTAGAAAAGTTTCATCTGGAAGACTGCAATCATGTTCTTAATCCTATAGCACCAGGAACCAAACTCTCAAAGGCTGGAGATGGCATTCAAGCTTATGCAACTGAGTACAAACAACTCATTGGGAGTCTGTTGTATGCAACAGCTACCAGACCTGACATCATGTATGTAGTGTGCTTATTGAGCAGGTACATGGAGAAACCTACAAGACAACATGTTTTGGCAGCAAAAAGGGTTTTGAGGTATCTAAAAGGTACACTGAAGTTTGGAGTGATGTATAAAAGACAGGAGGAAGAAGACTGCCTGCTTGGATACACAGACAGTGACTATGCTGGAGATTTGGATGACAGGAAGAGCACCAGTGGTTACATCCACTACGGGAAAAGTGAGATTTGGCAACACCTGAAATGTGTTGCATGATGTGTCGAAAGTGTTACATAAGCGATATGCAACACTTTTAGTAGTGTCCTCTATAGGTGGTGTTGTATAATGTAATAGAGAACACTTATTCTAATTTATGCAACAACAACAAAATATGTTGCATATGCATATCTTATATGCAACACCCTTTTAGGCAACAACTTGAAAATTTTATTCAACACTTTTTAATAAGTATAAGCAACATGTATATTCTTTATCCGTGTTGAATCTTGTTGTCACATAAGACATATTCAATTGTGACGAATTTATTTTGTAACAAGTACTATACATTTGTGACGAGAGCGTGTCAAAACCAAACGTATTTCAACTGTCACCATGTTCAGTTGTAACAAATGTGTCACATTTTAGACGGTGTTTTGCCACAAAAGCAAGCTTTTGTGACTTTTACTCTGATCACAATGTCATGTTTTTGTGACAAATCATTTCGATACGTATATTGTTTGTGACAAAAAGGTTATCACATCTATTTCTATTGGCGACAAGAGCTACACTCATAAAGGAACTCAACTGTGACAAAGATTTATCACTAATGAATTCTTTCGTGACTAATTTGTCATATATAGAACTAATATTAGCTACCACTAATAAGTATACTAATGTATAACAATCGTGGCAGTTACGTACTTCATAGATGGAATTCATTTGTGACAATACATTGAAGAAAAAAAATTATCCTCAACTCCAGTCTCAATATAAACTAAATAGCTTTAAGAAATCAAAATAAACTTTTTCTTCGACCAATCGGCTGAACATAATCTCATATCTTCTTCATGCTTTACTTGTAGGCGTGCTATATATTGTCATCGAATTGTTCCCCTCCTGTTAGCTTGGAGTAGCTGTTGGTGTACCCCTTCATCTATGTTGTGCTCGATATAATTCAAAGCTTAGAATGAACCAAGACATCAAAGTAATGATTTCACCTTCTTATCCAGCGCCTAGTTTGATTTCCCAATCTTGCCCCACTTATGCAGTCCTTTCTCGATTACTTCAACCATCTTAAGAGTTTGCTTCTTACACCTACCCTCATAACCATAAAAGAAATTCACTAGTAGTCTTATTAATCATAAAAATGGGGAAATTTTCAAATCATAGTCAAGGCAAATTTAGGAACTCCGTTGGCTTACATGGTAGTATGGCGGTCCACATCAAGCTGTTGTTGCTAGACTTGGAGGGAGTCAGATAGCGAGATATCATGGCGTTGAAACGAGCTACTGCAACTTCATTGCCATCAACATCCACCCTCAGCAGAAGCTAATTGTACATCCACCCTTTTTTTTAAGTGAATCTACCCTCCGTTGATCTTCCACTTGACCGCCGAATTACATACGTCTAGCGGTGAGAAAATTATATAAACCCCATGCAGCAGTTGGAAGCAAGCAGAGCAACGGAAGTACCAGGCAGGATGAAGAGCTCATGTTGAATCAATGGATGTTGCCTCCAGATCGCCTAGGATGTGAATGGCGGCGGCGCTAGATTGGAGTGGCGCATAAACTTAATGAAAACCCTAATGAGGAGAAAGATGAAAGTAAATTCGGGGTACGGGAGTGAAGATATAAGGGCCATATATAACCCTTGGACAATTAGTTTAAACTTTCCCCCAGAGACCCTTACTAGTTACTACTATTCAATTGTCTTATTATGGAGTTAAATACAAATTAAGAAAAGTGAACAAAAAGGACAATATTATTTATAATTAGTGATGGGGCTATGTGTAGTTCCGGGTGACCTATACCCTCTTCCTCTGAATTTGATCTTTGATTATAATTTGTGTATAAATAAAACAACGAAAAGTAACCGGACCCTAGTAATTTTTATTTCTAGCCCCACTATAAATCCCAATTTTACCACTATTTAAAATTGAGCACTACTACTATGCTATATATTATTGGTGCTTTAATGTACAACTTAAAGTTGTACCATAACATTAAATGTATAAGTTTAGGTTGTCCCATAAAGTAATTTATATCATTATGTTATGGTACAACTTTACAACTTGAAGTTGTACCATCACATAAAGGTACAGGTTCAAGGTGTACCATAAAAGAATTTGTACAAAAAGTATAGGTATAATAACATTAAAAGTACAATTTCAAGTTGTACCATAAAGATAAAAACCTATAACACCAATACTATATAGCATTGTATAATTCCTCTTTAAATTTTTTTTAATATACACAGGGAGTTCGACCTTTTCTTTCCTGGAATTGGACCGCTTAGTGAGGGTAATCTAGCTGCCTAGAGTTGATGTTCTGTTACATTTTCTTTTCGTTTGTTAATTAACTGTCCACTAATAAAAGTTTTAATATGGAATGCAAAATGCGAGCGACTTCCTTAAAACTTTTGTTTCATTCTTTAATTTACATTACAAATACCTACAACATAAGACACACCTAAAAATATAAGCATGCAAGTATGTAAGGTGTATATACAATTAGTTTGTTCGATTATTGGGATTAGTAAAGTATATTTAATTGTCAAACAGTTACTTTTCCATCATTATTTTCTAAAGTGTTGCTTAAGATGTACAAATAGGTAACATTACATAATTTATGATATAAATGTTGCTTATGATATAACAAATGCAACACAATTCAAGTCACGACTTACTTATGTTGTATAAAATACCTTTTAAATAACACTTTAAAGAAGTGTTGCCACTGTTAATCTTAAGCAACACATTTAATAAGTGTTGCAGGCATAGTGTTGCCAAAGGCCACTTTTCCCGTAGTGATCTTCTTTCTTGCAGGAGGAGCAATCTCATGGAGCTCAAAGAAACAACCTGTTGTGACACTGTCAACAACAGAAGCAGAATTCGTGGCTGCATCTTCCTGTGCAGCCCAATGTGTTTGGTTGAAGAGAGTTGTGACACAAATGGGATGGCCAGGCTGTGCAGCAGGTTCAACTAAGGTCATGTGTGATAATAGCTCTGCTATTAAGTTGTCTAAGAATCCAATTATGCATGGCAGGAGCAAACATATAGATGTTCGCTTTCATTTTTTGAGAGAGCTGGCCAGGAATGGAACAATAGAGCTGGAGCATTGTGGAACTGCAGATCAAATCGCAGATATTATGAGCAAGCCATTGAAGTTGGAGACTTTTCAAGTGTTACGCAGCAAGCTTGGACTGGTTGATGGAGCTGAGTTATGGTCTGAAGGTTGATGAACTGAAGCTGTTTAAAATAGGCTTCAGTTCAGGGGAGGCTGTTGAAGATGCTGAAGTTCAGAGGAATCCGAATCCATTCTGGAGAAGGAGAACAATACTGCGTCGTTGAAGGTTCATTGCTTAAGTGTGTGCCATTAGACTGTGTCGTTTGGTATTTTTCTGTGTTGGTCATTAATGTTTGGTCTATATTAGTAGTGGTCAGTCTGGCTAAACTAGCCGTTGCAGTAGTTTACGTTAGCAGAGTGAGTTAGTTAGCTTTGGAGCTAATCTCCAGGGATTCAGTAGTTGAGGGTCGAGTGTCAAAGCCAAGTCTGTAGGCTTTCAGTTGAGAGTCCAGTGTATAAAGATCGATTCCATTCAATGAATAAAGCTGTCAGTTTGCGATCTATTAGCTTTCACAAATCATATAAGTTATTGTGCATGTTTGATTGATCTCTTTTGACACTCGTACTATTTTGCATAGTATCTGAGCATCAAATTTAGTTGTCTCATTTTTTAACATTGACAAACCCTAACATAAAGAATCGAATTAATTGAACACAGCGTATGGTAGATTCATGTGCAAATTTTAAGATCTCATAAGTAAATTTTTATTGGGTGTATATGCAAATGATATCGATTAATTAGGTCTATTCTTAGACCTCTTTGCTTCCAACGACTCGAGTTATTTGCTAACTGGGTGATAGTCAACCAAACCTAATTCCAAATGTAATAGCTAAAGGGACATGTTCAAAAGGGTAAGTTAGCTCAATCATTTAGTCTAGGAATCCCAAAAACTTTCTTTGCAGCACTTATGGGAATATTATATGAAACAAACGTCTCACCAAAAGCCCAAGGACAAGGTCAGGATACTATAGTAATTAGAGTAACTAATAACTTTGATTAATCACCAATCATCATTGTTAATAAAATCACTAGAAAACAAAATCATGCCCTAAACCAACTTTGTTTACTATATTCCACATTGTACACTCCGCTGGCTTTTTTTCTTTGATCTCATTAGTATCAAATTCGTGGCTCTCGTTAATTTGTATGGACCCTCCAAATTCTTATTAAATATACATGACAGGGTAGATTTTTTAAGTGACTTGATTATTAAATCATATATTTACTTGAGTGATGATGCATTATATAAATGTTCATTGTTAATGAGGAATTTTACAATGCTATATAGTATTGGTAATGCTATATAGTATTGGTGCTATAGTTTTTTCCCTTTATGGTACAATATGAAATTGTACCTTTAACGTTATGGTACAACTTCAGATTGTATCTATACATTTTGTACAAATTCTTTTATGGTACAACTTGAACTTGTACTTTTATTTGATGGTACAACTTCAAGTTGTAAAGTTGTACCATAACATAATGATACAAATTCCTTCATGGTACAACCTAATCTTATACATTTAATGTGATGGTACAACTTTAAATTGTACATTAAAACACCGATGCTATATAGCATAGTAGAAGCGCTCATTGTTAATAAATCAGTTGGGCTTCCTTGGCTTGGTCAAAATCAGGTCTAATTATGCCAATCCTTCCTCTAGTTTGATTTTTAATATGACATGAAATCACGAGTGGATTCGAGTTATCATGATAACCTTTTTCCTTGTCTTCTCCCCTCGCAGCCTCGCTTTGTTTAGTTACCCTACCTATGATGTCAATTTCGAATTCTCTCTAAATGATCTTGGTGATTGAAACTTGAAAGGACATATAATTACACCATTTTTACCTTGTCATCAATCATAAATCAAGGTAAAGGAATCAATCTAGTTAGTGTCATGCATTTTCCTCACATGTTCTTTCATTGCTAGTTACACACAAAACAGGGAGGTGTGGAGCATCCTTGGAAGTCATTGTTTTGATGTCTTCAAAGCTTGGCACGAGCACATTGGCTTTCAAGGTTGATAGAGTTTCCCGAAACCTCTCCTGCATGCTATCTGTTAATTCGAACGGGTTTGTCGGAACAGAACCATCGTATTTTTAGGGACGACGATAAGTCCGATACAAGTGATTTTCCACACGTTGTTTGGTCAAGAGTATTATGATCACTTGCTCTTTCGTAGGATTCTAGGTCACAAGAGATGAGCAGTTTGAGGATTTGGGTCCAGATCGGGTCAGTAACTGATGGGTCAGTAACCCATCAGTAACCCATCAGTAACCCCTTCCATGACCCCCACGTGTCAGTCACTTTTTTATTTAAATTAAATGTGAAAAGGGCAGTACGGTAAAATTGCACTTTCTCTTATTTATTGCTGAGGCTGATTTTTTACCATACCACATCAGCGTCTCTTTCTCTCTCCTCGCAAAACATTTAATTTTCCTTCTCTTAATCTTTAACGGACGATTTCTCACTCGTTTTAAGTCGAAATTTAATTTTTTTCACGGTTAGATCAGATTAATTGTGCTCTTCAAAATGATATCCACTTTGAAATTTTTTTGACACAAAAAAAATTTGTCAGTTATTACCAGTCTATACCATATGGTATTAACTGGTATTAAATAAGAGCATACCATATGGTATGAAAATTGTTGCCATATGAATATATATTTCGTTACTACCATATGGTATAGTGTGGTAATATCAATATATATTTCGTTACCACCCAATACCATATGGTATAGTGTGGTAATATCAATATATATTTCGTTACCACTCAATACCATATGGTATAGAGTGGTAATACCAATATAAATTTCGTTACCACCCAATACCATATGGTATAGAGTGGTAATGCCAATATATATTTCGTTACCACCCAATACCATATGGTATAGTGTGGTAATATCAATATATATTTCGTTACCTCCCAATACCATATGGTATAGAGTAGTAATACCATATGGTATAGAGTGGTAATACCAATATATATTTCGTTACCACATAATACTATATGGTATAGTGTGGTAATACCAATATATATTACCTAAAATAAAGGGGGAAAAACAAGAGGGAGAGAAAAAAAAAACTTGTCTTCTGTATAATCTCATTTCATCCGCAACCAAAGAACACCAAACTCCAAAAAAAAGGAGAAAGAACGAAATTAAAGCCAACGAGTTGATGAAGAGAAGAAACGCAATTAAAGAGGGTGACTTCGATTTTAATTCGTCGATTGCTAGAGAAAAAAATGAAGATGGAAGAGAGCAGATCTAGATTTGAAAAGGAGATTGTGAGAGAAAAAGTAAGAGAGAAGGAATAGAGAAAGAGAAAGGATTTGGAAAGAGATTGAAAAAAAGGAAGAGAGAAAGAAGAAAGTAGAGTTGCAGAGAAAAGGTTATTCTCTCTCTTTCATTGAAAAGTCAGCCATTGAAATGCGGAATAAATAAATAAAAATTAAAAATACAAAAACCGACAAAAATGCCCCTCCCCATCCCGCGTCTAGCTAACCACACGATTGCTTCATCCCCAGATCTACGGCTCCCGTGTGTTTACTAATAGGTCAATAACCCGTGATTACTGACCATATCCCAAACCTGAGGATTTGGATATGAGTGGAGTGTTTTCTAATCACACGGGTGGTTTTTTATACCTTCCAATGCGCTAGTCCATTGAGCATATCATAATAATTAATAAGTATCAATCCACCAAGTTTCAAAAGTAGGTACGTAACACATTTTGTGCGTCTCCACATTCACTAAATACGGTTTTCATAAGTAATTCATAACGTAAGTGTGATTTCTGAACCTTCCATATTACAGTCATTCCAAAAGATCTACACCCTCATACTTTATATTAGTTAGGTTCTTCAGAAAAAATTCGTCTGTAAGACCATTACTCGTGTTATAAATTCATCTCCCGAGTTCTAACACACTCTCTTTCCTCTCGTAATTTTCTAAGACACATGCATCATCCATCAGAATTCAATCAGGCCAAATTCTGTCCACAAAACACATCAATATAATTTGGCCATGTCATCTACAAATGGTCCCATATAACCTAATTGAATTTGACGTCGTCGATTAAGACTTTGGAAATAAGTTAACATATAGTTGTTTTCCTTTTTTTCATTTTTTTAAAGCTTATTGGGTCTTCTTTTTCTCTTGGTGTGAGTCGACAAAACGATTATATGGTGCTTGTTGATGTGGCTTTTAGTAACAAAAGAACTCACATATGATTTAACAACTTGATTATGATAAGCCATCTTACAATTTTAGGCCAAATTTGACCTTATGCCAGAAAATATTACTCATGCATGTCTATAATCGATCCATCATACTTGTGAACGGATGGAGAATTCGAATATTTGAACCGACGTCATATAAAAAACCAATTGATTTCAAAACACCAAGATGTAGTCCACTATACAAGAACTCAAGAAGTTGGGATTATAGAGTGTGTGGAGCAAACTAATTGCACTAATACCAAATGATAGTTACGTAATATTATTTTTATCATTATGAAACACCACACGATGTCGACGAGCTATGTTGGACGGTTTGTCTTTGAGGAACAGCCTAATTAATTATCATGATCATGATTTCTTCTGTATTAATTAATTCTTTACCTCTCATCATATCGCCGGTTGAATATAACTTAACCGCAAATTTCCATCCACAAACCAACACCTAATTATTAACTAGTGTTGTATCCGCCCGTTGGCCGGTTTTGTGGTCATTTGGGTATTTTTTTAGTTAAACGTAGGTGGTTCGATTTTTAGTATTGTGCACTGGTGGTACAAAAGCGTTTTTTGATAGTTTATGCTTTTTAGTGCCCGTTAACTTTATAATTTATATAAAAGACTTTCCTAGTTCTCTCTCTTGTTTCTCTTTCTCTCTCTTGTTTCGCTGCAGCACGATAGAAGAATTTGCGATGGTCGCCGTCGCTGACGGAGCCACGAAGGGCGCCGTCAGCGACGGACGATCCTGGGCTTCACTTTTTCAGGTTTCAGAGGAGAATCGATTGGAGTATTATGAGCCAGAGATCGTTAATGGTTCTCTTCGGATCCCGAAATCGGTTGTTGAGGCAGGTGCGAAGAATTGGGAACACAGTCTCGTCGGGCAGTTTTTGATGGCTACACCATCGCTCTCAGCTCTTCGATTCTGGGAAAATTGGATTTGGGGCCGGGATGGTGAAGTCAGAGTCTCCATGCTGGAGGATCATCTGGTTTTATTCCAATTCCCCTCAGAGAAGGTCTGCCGATGGGTGTTTGAAGGAGGACCATGGCATTACAAAGAGAGGATTGTCTGCTTAAGGAAATGGACTCCAGGGATCAGGGCATTGGACATCGATAATTCTGCTGTTCCAGTTTGGATTAATCTGTCGGGCCTACTAGCTGAACTGATTCTACGCGAAGGACTGGGGAGGATTGCTAGTGCAGTAGGTAAGCCGCTTTGTATGGATCATTCGACTGCTCATCATGAGCGGGTTGGCAGAGCGAAG